AAAATAATTTAATTTAAATACAATACGTGTTGTGCGTGTACTTGGCGCCTGTTTTTACCTTTTTTTAAAAAGGTAAGTTTTTAGAGTATCACACAATTTATATTTTGTTTACTTTATCTCGAGTTTTTACTCTGCAAATCTTTGACATAAAATATTTCGTAAAGAAAACCATTAATGAAAAAAATAACCTTACTTGTCTTAATAAATGTCACTACAAGCTTTCGATTGCAAGAAGTGCGAATCAAATTGGTTCAGTCAATTCAGAGATCTAAAATATTATACCTCAAAATGCACGAATCTGTCACGCGGATTCTTAAAAATAATCCGATCAGATCAGTCTCACGTACACATAACTTCACGCACACATTCAAAGCGCGAGCGTTCCTTAACTCGCGTTCACAACTGTGTTTGTGCTCGCACACGCGTTCTGGTCAAACATATCAGCGCGTCCATATATTGGCGCTTGCAAATATTTTGTGTGAATAATTTGTTTACATGATACATCTTTTCTCAGAATAGACTCGTATTTAAAAGATATAAGTATATATACAAAGATTTAATATTTACTTTTAGTAATATGTTATAATATGTTGTAAATTCGTCGCTCCAATACTCCATCTACATGGTTTGTATAATGATACGTAGGTACATAGTAAGTAAAAGAGAAAGAGGTGAGAAAGAGGGATTTTGCGAAAAAGAGAGAGAGAGTGAGAGAGAGAATGAGATCTGACATGTATCTCGTTAACGTTGCATAGTAAGACTAGAGCGAGATAAATAGCGAGAGAGTAAGAGAGCAAGACAGCGTGACAGCAAAAGATCGAAAGAGCGAGAGAGCGAGAGAGAGAAAGAATGCGAGAGAGACAGAGAGAGAGAAAGAGAGAGAGAAAAAAAGAGAGAAAGAGAGAGAGAGTGCAAGAGAGCAAGCGCGAGGAAGCGTGAGAGCAAGAGAGAGAGAGAGAGAAAGAAAGCGAGACAGTAAAAGAGCGTGAAAGGGAGAGAGCGAGAAAAAGAGTGAAAGAGATAGCGAGAGAAAGCATATTATCTTTTTTGTGATCCGTTTAGATAAAAATTGATATTCATACCATCTCCCTTGTTCTTTTTTTTTCTATAGTTTGTTACACATATAGTTGTAGCCATTTTAACAAAAACAAAGCAATATTATGAAGTATGTCATTTTGTCAGTTCATTTTGCACAGACAACAAGGTTAATAATATGGAGAACAAACAAGACGAGGTAGACGTCATGAATATTGATTCCAATGTAAGTAAATTTCTAAATAAGTCATTTTTCGATAGGTACTAAGAGACGCACGCACACACACAAACTCTACTTCTCTCTTTCTTTCATTCTTTTACTTTCACTCTCTCTCTCTCTCTCTCCCTCTTTCTCTTACTCGTTCTGCCGCACTCTTGCTCTCTCTCGCTCTATCGCTGTCTCGCTCTCTTTCTCTCTCACTCTTTCGCTCTCTCGCTCTCTCTTTTTCTTTCTCTTTCTCTCTCTGTTTCCTTCATTTTCTTCTCTTTCTTTCAACGTACCGATCTGTTTTACCATTTCCGTGTAGATAGAAGATTGGAATATGTTTACATTCGAAAAGGATCAACGTCGATCTTCTCCAACAATTTACTCAAGTTTATCTCCCAACGTTCCAAGTTTGACTTCTGTTTCTGTGAATCCGGAAACTACTAATATGCCAAACGATGGTAAATATATGTTTTATTAACAATTATTATTATTGAGAGAGAGAGAGAGAGAGAGAGAGAGAGGAAGAGACTGAGGAAGTGAGCGAGAGAGCGAGAGAGAAAAAGAGAGAAAGAGAGTGAGAGCAAAAGAAGAAGCAAGCAAAAGAGAAAATGAGAGCAAGACAGAAAACAAGAGAGAGAGAGAGAGGGAGGGAGGGAGAGAGAGAGAGAGAGAGAGAGAGAGAGAGAGAAAAATTTATATATTTTCATATTTTTTAATTGTTTTTCTTTAGATCATGCAAGAGTTGAAAAAGCGGAGAATGTGCCAAGAAGAAGAAGACCGGACATATCCTCAATAGAAAGATTAAATGAATCTCCAGTTGCTAGCAGTTCAGTAACTAGAGGTAAATAATGATACATCCTATATACAAAGGTGGGGTGAAAAGTTTTCGGCCTGATAAAGAAAAACAACTTTTTTCGTTTTTTTTTCGCTTTATTTTTTAACATAATCTTCATCAAGATTAATTTACATTTTTCATAACGGTGCTCTGATGCAGTGATACCATTTTTATAGTCCGATATGTCAAGTCCCTCAAAATACTCATTTACAGCATCGATGACTTCTTCGTTGCTTTCTAATTTTTTACCTCCGAGCCATTTTTTAAGGTTAGGAAACAAATGATAGTCGCTGAAGGCTAAATCTGGTGAATATGCTGGTTGGGGGAACAATTCGAACTTTTCAATTCGTTGATTTTAGCTATCGCAACGACCTACGAATGGGCAGGTGCGTTGTCATGGTGAAACAAGATTTTTTTTTCGC